ACAACTTCTATACAACGAAAGGAGACTGCGACCACACAAAAGGCCACACCATCTTGGTCTTCATACCTAGATACACATAATTCTCTTATATTCTCGTGCGTGTGTGTGTGTTAAAGTATGTACGCCAGACCGGCAATAACTCATGGTAGTTAGAAAAAAGCCCAACGTCAGCCCCTGGTCGTCAAGGCTTAATGACCCACGGAAAAAAAAGGATTACTGAGATTACGTCAGTCCGTAAGTAACTCTGGTATAATTGATGAGATGTAAGCCCGCATGCTCAAAAGTCAGGCTACGAAACCACCAGTCCTGACCCATTAGTCCGAAGCCATTAAGGCTTTATGTAAGGTTCATACGAGATGAAAATCTCTCCAACATTGTTATCTCAGGGGATTCATCGAAATCCAGTTACTCTTTGCATTTTTCAAGGATAAATGACTGGCTGGAATTGCGTAATTTCGTACGTTTGTTGTGGTTCATGATCTTTACATACTTATATAGGTAGAGCAATACTTCAGTTTACAGAATGAGTCGCCTTCTTTTATAAATGAAAGTTTTCCCAAAAACATCCACTTCTGTCGTTGTTGACACTGTTTCGTCTATTAAAGTGCGATTACGATGGTGTCCTAAGACTGTAGCTGCCTCAACAACGAACTGCTAAAATAAATACTCAGCATGACAGCACAGATCGACAAATCTCTTTATTGCACATTTTCAAGCCAAACTAAAAGAATCCTAAAATAGAGCTCTTTCTAGTGCACTCTTTTTGCACCGGCCATGAAGATCCCCTCCCGAAGAGGCCTGTTTTCTGCCCAATCGTAATCGAACGCTCTTGTCCATAGTGCAGACGTGGACTAAGCGATAAATGTCTTATTTTGTAGGCCAGATCCACCATACAACTTGGGGCTCCAATTAATTAAAGTCACGCCGGAGAAGCGATGAGACCCGGTTACAGTGGAGACCGAATTCCAGACGGGATGACAGAAGGCTTGCAATTCAGGTCAGAGAAAGGTTCATTAACTCCCTTCTTCAATTCCCTGCGGCCGACACAACCATCGGACCCTAAGACGTCCAGCAACTTGCTGGGGATGATGATTTACTCTAGGTCACATTATTTACTGGCCCAAACCTCTTGCAACCCTTTAAAAGTGTGTACAACACAGCAAAATTAACAGAATTTGTCTCCAATTTTATCGTTTAACGAAATACAGAAATTATTTCCAAACCTCAAATTGTAGCATTAAGATGCTAAGCGATGCTTCCCATTTCGACATAACCGGAAAATGTTGCCAAAGCAAGAGCACAAGTTTATGTTAACATGAGCTTTGCGACTGTCTGCCCTCTTGAGTCCCCATTTATTCACGTCAACGCATCACATAAAGATGAGAATTCGCTTGTCCACTTAAGAACAATTTGCCAGTGAGTGCAGAGGAATGATACCAATCTCAGGGCTAGGCAACAATACCGGAATAAAGAAATGCATATATGCTAAGTAATTTTTTTCCATAAATCTAAATTCAAGATTGGACAAAAGTTGCTTGGACTTCTCCCTCCGTAAGCGGCTATGTCCACTCGGACCAACAGTTGTCATCCGTGATGCATTTACCATAAGACAGACGGCTAAGCCATCACCGGGAGGGATGCCAAATCGGCAGCATACTAGCGATGAGCGCCTGTGCAACGCTAAATTGAAAACTGAAATAGGTGCTGAAATTGTTAGTAAATATTGGGTAAGAGTTCTAGCCACCCCAGGTGGTATAATGTGGCGGAGGACTGATGTTTGAGTTTTCCCACAATGATCCATGTGGGCTGGGAATCTTTTTCAAAATTTGCCGCCAATTTCAAAACCCATTTTCTGCTAATATAGAAAATAACGAAGTCAATTGTAATTAGAAAAAAACACAAGACAATGTAACTTTAAATGGAATCTGGTGAAGGCTTGGCTTTCTTTGAAATTCGCGTCTAACCTGAGGCAGTCGTGGCAACGTTGCATGGCGAAATGATACACTCCCCTAAAAGGGTTTGATAAGACCATTGGGGATGAAAGGCTATGTGAAATTTGTAGGCCACTCATGTGAGTATGGAAGAATGCAACTATCAATCTGTCATCACCTTATGCGGCCGACGGTGACTAAAACTATCTTACGAGGATTGGCTCTCTGTCCTGGGGGTTTACGTGACCGGCACATTTAATCTCTGCCGGAGATCAAGCCCCCCCCCAACTGCCGCTGTATGTGAATACACCGTTTCGTGTGCAGTGGTCCAGTCTTCCTGGCCGTGGAGGACGTGGAAAAGAGATTCACCTGCTCCCCGAGTCTTATATCATCGTTCTGACAGCCTAAACCAAGATCTCAATGTCTCTGTCGCACTCCCGCCTACAGAAGGTAGATCGTAGTACAGCTTGAGACATGGACTAGTGCAGACCTAAGGCATGTTCACACTCACACTCACATGCACAAACACAACACGGCCTTACAGGGAGTTGAATTTAGCTTTTACTTGTGGAGTATTTATGAATCGGTTTTGTCTTGCTTGAATTGGCAGTGGAAAAGGAGATTTAAGACGAAAATTGGGATATGAGCTGCTAAATCATTCAGTTCTGTTCTTGGCAAAATGAGGCAAAAAGAGACGATTCTGACTGCTTTTTATTCGTTAACAGACTTCTGGGAAGCCTAAGAGTGACAGGAATTGTAACGATAAGATTTTATTCATAATATTTATAATTGAAAATTTGGAGGCATCCTGATCATTTTCACATGCATCACTCAAAAAGTGTGATGCTTAATATTCATTTGTCCATTCGTTCATACAGAATCAGGTGTTCTTTTGGCGTTCGAGGATGATGTCCAAAAGCAGGGCACTGCGACTTGGGCAAATTTAGACTACAAGTCAAGAAATATTTTAATCCTTGATTTAAGCAGATCCGTGTTGTCTGGACATGTCTACCTCAGCCACAGACGAGATCCATCAACTTAGTGAACAGGTCACGCAACTATCAGTAATTCTGGGATAAGAACTTGGATACAACTTTTCGTTTTAAAGACTACCAGTAAAAGAGATATTTCGTTTAAGGTGTGAAGGACTGGTAGTTGATTTTTCTCACAATGATATGAGTAGAGCTGACGTTTCCATTGAATTTCACATGGCTTTGCTTTCCCAAAATTTGTTTCATCAAGGCACCAGCGGACTGCAGTTTCGACCTCGCATCGGTCTTATCAACACCCTCAGCGGGAGTCGAATCATGACGTTAACCACTCAGCCACCTTGCCACGAATGCCTTTGAGTCACAGGGCAGATGTGAATTTCAAGGAATGTCAGGCATTTTCCATATCAGATAAGACTTATGTGAGGTGGAAACTGCAGTCCACCCTGGATGAGAACAACTTTTGGGAAAGAAAAGCTATGTGAAATTCAATGGAAACATCAGCTCTAATCATACATTTATGAGAAAATTCTACTGCCAGTCCTTTATCACCTTATGCAAAATAGGCTGAATACAACTCATAGGAGATACAATGAAATCACTCGGTTATTAGTAGTGTCGTCAAGACGTATGTCGACAGTGCGGATAGAAGTATTTTTGAGGAGACTTTCATTTCGTATCAAAGTTCATGAAGAAGAGCCTTGAAGATCAATCTCACCAAAGACGACGTCTGATTGCAATTATACTGTGACATTCAGGTTAACACAATTGGAATTTCACACGAAATACAGGTCTCACCAACAATTTTATCTTAGAATATTCATTGAAACCCAGATACTCTTCGTCGCTAGAATACAAGTATACCATATGGACAGCAGTCTCACTACAAATGTGGATTAGGAGAAGCCTGGCTCGCCTCGAAGGTCACATCTGCCCAGACACTCATCGAAATTCACTGCCGCTCTGCATATTCGACTTAGCATCGAATTCTGCTGAGGGTCTTAATGGGCCCAGAGCTAAGTGGAAATTACATTCCACCACGAGGAAGTATTTTGTGAGTCAAGGCCATGCGAAATTCAAAGGTCTATTGGGAGTTTCGACAAGCAACGCTTGCATCGACATTATCTAACTAGTATAGGCAAAATCAATTAGGCACCATGGAATCTCTTGGTCCATAATCGTTGAGCTTGCTTCCATTTCAGGTGAAAGTGCTTGATGAAGAGCTTCGAAGATCGACCTCACCAGAAGACAACAGCGGACTCCCCTTGAGCATCTGTCGCTTGGCTTGGCCGAAACATTCTTGTTGAGCTTATTTCCATTTCGAGTAGAAGTGTTGGGTGAAGAGATTGAAAGGTCGGTTCCACCAGAAGATGT